AGATGGGTGCTTCAAGCTTCTGCGATGTACTTCTGGTACCCAGGGTGGTGGGGAGGTGACACAAACTGGATTCCTACCCTTCTGAAGAGGTCCCCAGGCCCCAGACACCCACCAGCAGCATGGTCAAGGCACATATTGAGATGATTAGGTACATTTTGCACAGGGTTGCACATCACACCTGCATCGCCTTGGTCCATGTGGCCAAGGGACATCCCAGGGTCCCCACAGGATGCCTGCATCCATCATCCCAGGAAAATGGGGGTCCACAGACTGATCCTCAACTGGTGACTGGGAAATCTCCTAGTATTTCTCCTGTGCTTGCAAAACTGCAGAGGTCAGACGCCATCCAACTCCAGCATCCCATAGCACAACCCGCTCCTCCAAGGAGGTATCAGGAAAAGGCAGGAAAACTTGGGGCAGAGGAAAGACAACGCATTAGGAAGTGCCCTGAGGCAAAGCAGCTGAGGGCTTCATGATGCCACGGTCCAGTCTAACTCCTCCACCCCAAAAATCCTGATTTTGACACAGATCCATGCAGAAAGAGCTCCCACAGCCACGGGGGAAGCACGTTCATCCGTTTATTGATGGCATGCCATTGTGCACAGGAAAAGCGCAAGCACCCAGAATGGAGGGTGACAGTGGGTACCCACGTGGAAAGCCTTTCTTTTGGAGGAGGGAGCAGGGGAAGGCTCCTGCCCCTCACCAAAACCCCGGGAGCAGAAGAAGTTCTGGAGTTGTGCCGCAAACCCCAGCTGGTTACTGGTCACTGTATTCAGACAGAGGGAGAGATGGGGCAGGGAGTCTGCACCATCACTCTGCTTCCCGCCGCCGCCGCACCGCTGCTGCTTTCTTGGTGACATTCCTACAGGTTTTGGGGGGAGGAAAGAAGTGAAACCAAAGCCATCAGGAGGAAAGGGAGCACCCTGGCAACGTGTTCGGATGCTTGTTGTCCGGTCGCTGGGCATTAAGTACCTCTGTGTCAGCTTGAAGATGAGCAGCTGGATCCAGGGCGCCTCGGGGGCCACGCAAACCTTCTTGTTTTTCTTCAAGGTAAGACTGCAAGGGGATGAGACCCGCTCAGCCCCACACACGCCTCTGTCCCAAAGCGCTCCTCGCCAGGCTGCTGTCTGCAGAGAAAACCCCTCTCGCTCCCTACAGGATTATGAGCACACCCTGTGACCCTTGCTGGGAGATAGACGAGATCTTTTAGACCTTGACCTTGTGTCATAGAATCATAGAACAGTTTGGGTTCGAAGGGACCTTAAAGCTCATCCAGGTCCAACCCCCTGCCACGGGCAAGGACACCTTCCACTAGAGCGGGTTGCTCCAAGCCCCTGTGTCCAACCTGGCAGGTTGCAATTAGCAGGGATTGCTTTATAAAGCTTTCCACTTACATGATCTCCTTCCTCCTGCAGTGAATACCCGGTGGGGTGACATCGATGGCGAAGATCAGCCCCAGGTTGATGACCTGGGCGGTCCATTTGATGCACTTGCACCTCATGTTGGTCAGCAGGCTCTCCAGCGACAGACCTGCACCCAACAGCAGCCCACACACCCACAGGTCTCAGCCCCCCACCACCCTCACGTCACGATCCCATCCCGTCCCTGATGCCCATGGGGACATTGGTTTGTCTTGATGGGGTTTGCAGCAGCAAGAGGTGACGCAAAGCTAATCCCTCCCAGCACGGGCTCAAAGCTTTCTTGTCATGCATGCAGAAAGGGCTTAGCCTCCAGGTTTGAAACTTAACCAGTGTTTTAGGAATTAAACCCATTGCCCACCCACCACACACTCAAATTTCACAGGGGTCTTGAGGAGAAGCAGCTTAAACCTGCCAGGCAAATCCCCCCCCAGTCTCCTTTGCAGCAGCAAGAGGTGACGCAAAGCTAATCCCTCCCAGCACGGGCTCAAAGCTTTCTTGTCATGCATGCAGAAAGGGCTTAGCCTCCAGGTTTGAAACTTAACCAGTGTTTTAGGAATTAAACCCATTGCCCACCCACCACACACTCAAATTTCACAGGGGTCTTGAGGAGAAGCAGCTTAAACCTGCCAGGCAAATCCCACCCCAGTCTCCAACATCCCCCTCCAGTTTAACCACCGACTTTAACTGATAAACTCAAGCTCAAAGATAGGCAAGAAACAAATCTGAAAGCTTAGAGGAGCCCACGCTCAGCCCCATGCAGCGTTTCAGCCGAGGGATTTGGAGGGGACAGAGGGACACCCCAAGGCCACTCACCACCACCCGGCACCAAGTTGCCCATGAGCAGGGCCATGGCCAGCGTCGCCGGCAGCAGCCGCATCCTCACCCCTGCCCCGAGCTGCCCTGGGGCTGCTTTATAGCCAGCCGAGGTGGGGATTTCGGAGCCTGGGAAACGCCGGGGGGGAGGAAGGAGCTGCCCCACACTTCGACTTCCCTGCCTCTGCTTCCCCATCACACGTGGTGGCCCACGCCACCTCCCCGATCAAAAAAGGGCAGAAAACTCCTAACACCTCCTGCTTGCCCCATGTTTCTTGGTGGAGAAGCAGCGGTGAGCCCCCCTCCGCTCCCCCGAGTACCCCCAAGCCTCTGGCATGCCGCAAGAAGGGGTGCAAGTGACACTGACCCAGAGCTGCCACCTTTATTGGACCTGTTAGGTTGTGCCTGAAGGGGACACCCAGCACATGGTGGAAGGGTGGGGAAGGGGGTACTGGCATTTTCAAGGGCTTAAATGCACAAAATGCCAAGGGAAAAGGGGCTCAAGGCGTCGCACAGCAGCAGCATCCCCTCTGCACAAGGAGGCAGCAGGGTGGGAGGTGGGGACCAGATCCAGGCCCAGCACATATGGCTGTCCCACCGGTGGCAGCTTCCTCAGTGGGGAGCCTCTTTCTTCCTCCTGCCAAAAGCAGAAGGGGGGAGAAACAAGTGAAGACCAGTCCCCATAGGATGACTCTGGTCCTGCTGGGAAATCCTATCACATGGGGCTGAGGAGGGCTTACAGGTTAGGGAGGTCCTGCAGGAGCTTCTTCACCCAAGGGGTGTCAGGATTTACACAGACCCTCTCCAGGCTTTTTAGCTTAATCCTAGAAAACATAAAGGAGCTGGAGCAGCCGAGCCCCCCTGTTCTTCTCATCAAGGGTGGAACTGAAATAATCCAGGGAGGATGGGGGGAGCAGAGGGCTTGTTCCCCCCAGGAAGCACTTACACCACCTCGAGGCGCCGGCAGCTGCTCCCCACTGGCCGGACCTCGATGCTGCTGTATTTCCATGGTGGGATGAAGGCCCTGGTGGTCTTGGCACAGCGGCAGCTCAGGTTGCCATTGGCTTCCAAGAGGGCTGGATGGGCACACGGCTTGCACATCCCCAGAAACCCACCACCCCCACCAAAACATCTCCCCCCACGTCCCATCACGATCACCACATCCCCTTGCAGCAGAGCTCTGGAGGGACATCGGGATGTTGGGAGAGGGGGATGTTGCCTCTGAAAACCTCCCCACCCTCCCCAGCATCCTCCAGCCCCGTGCACGGGGGAGCCTCACCTGCATCCCCAGCGTGGTGGGTCAGCAGCAGCACGCCCAGCAGCAGGGCAGCCCGCACAGCCATGCCGGCCTCATCCCCGGCACCACCAGCATCCCCCTATTTGAGCT